AAGTAGCGCAAACTCAATAGATTGAATAGCCTCTTTCTGTGATGAAAATTCAAAAATTGTCAACTGAACTGGAATGGACCCAGAGTGGTTCCATACTAGTACAATTTAACTTAATTAAAATCTAGGAATGAGCATGTGGAACTACAGAAAATAACCAAGGTATAAATGAATTTTATAGTACTTCATTAGCCTACCGACTCAGCTGCTCCCTTCACTCAGCGAATACTGGCCTGCTTCATGTTGCTTACCCTGCCTGGCCCACCATTAGCAGGTGGATCTTCCTCCTTTGTGCCCCCACTCTCTGGAACTCCTTTCCGGAGTCTATCTGACTCCCTCCCTCCTCCCTCCCTCATCACCTTGTTGAAGGTCCATCACAAGACCTACTGCTTACTTTTACTCTTCCTCACCATTCTCCCCCCCCCCCCCCCCCCCACCACCACCCCACATGCCCTCAGATGCCAGGCCATTACTGTTAAACTTTTAGGATGTTCTCCCGTGAAATGCACAATATAAATGTGTCCATATTGAATTAGTATTGCTTAACCTAGAAATATTCCAGTAGAGAATACTGCCTCCCCCCACCACCCACCAAAGTATGCGAAATCTACTTCTCTCTCTGTGACCAGGGCTCCCTCTGCCTCCTCGTTCTCCTGGACCTCTCTGCCGCTTTCTCCACAGTCAATTAGGCCATCCATCTCCATCGACTCTACTTCTCATCCACCTTATTGGACCGCACTCACATGGTTCGAGTCCTACTTAACCAACTCCCAACAATACATCTTGTCAAATGTTTTTTTCTCCCGCCCTCAACCAGTCACCTGCGGGTTACCCCAAGGCTCCATCCTTGGCTCCCTTCTTTTTATCTACATGCTCCCTCTCAGCGATGTCATCCGTAGACATGGGGTCAGCTTCCACATGCATGCGGAAGACACCCAAATCTACTTCTCCTCCAGCTGCAACTTCCTGATGTCTGGTCAGCTTGTTTGATGGATATCAACGCCAGGATGAGTGCAAATTTTCTGCAGCTGAATGTTGGCAAGACAGAAGCCATACTCTAGCTCCCGTCAACATCTTCACTCTATCCGTACATTACAACCAAAGCAGCCAAAACCCTCGTCCACACCTTCACATCCCGGCTGGACTATTCCAATGCCCTCCTCACTGGACTCCCAGTACCACCATGCACAAAATTCAACTAATTCAAAACTTGCCACCCGGATACTCACCCGCACCAGTCCTTGTCAGGCTCCAGTGGCTCCCAATTACCGAACAGATTGATTTCAAGATCCTTTTGTTTTCAAATCTCTTCATACCCTCGCATCTCCCTACATATTCAAATCACTTAGACTCGTACTCCACCACCCACTGCTTCCGCCAGGCTGGCTCCGGCCTCCTGTTTGTCTCTCGTCTCCTCTGATCCACCATCCGGGGCTGTGCTTTCAGCCACTACGCTCTGAAACTCTGGAACTCTCCCCCTCAATCCCTCCGCCTTGCCCCCTCACTCTCCAGTATCAAATCCTAGCTACAGACCTTCCTTTTTGATCCTGCTTACAGTCATCTCTCCCCTCCCTCTCCCCCTGGCTTGGTGTCAAGACTCCACCACTGTCATGCGCTCCAGTAAGCTGCCACGTGTGGAGGGTGCTGTATAAAGGCAAGTTGTTGTTGCCTCCCTTGAAAAACAAATCCTCATCTAAGTAATAAATTGACAAGACGTTTAGTGAAGACGATGGACTAAAACACAGTGGAATAAAAATTTATTCCAAGTACAGTATCATGAAAAGCAGTTTAGAAGAAATTTACAACCAAATAGTTTTTCTTTTTGCAAGAATGAAGCAGGAGACATCAAATGAAACCAGTACAAAATTATGGCCAAAAAATACTATATTTGTAACCAGCAAGATCATTTGGGGCATTAATATACAATGTTAGTTTTCTTCAAAAAAGAAACTATTTCCCTTCCCCAAATAATATGACAATACATGCATTTTAGTGACAATTTAAAAAACAGCAAATATGATTCTTAAATACTGCATGTTAAAATTATCCAACAAGGAATTAAATATACAAGTCCTACCAGAGGTTCCACCACATTGGCACTTAAAAAGAAACTGGGGCTGCAGGAAAGTGACTATGGCACGCTCTGGGTTTTCACTTTCCTGCACGATTGGATCTTAATCAAGTCTAAGATCATACAGGCAGAATTGGACCTGGCACCATGATACAGTTCATGATTTTCAATTAAACTACTTAAATACTATTTGCTCGCGTTTTTTTATCTGGCAGTGCCAACATGCTGAAATCCCAGAAAGACCAATGGACAGAGCAGTGAAATAAAATAAATGAAGGCAGGTCTTTGGTAGGCCAAGTTAACATACTGTGTATGTACACCTCATTCATATAGAAAAGTTAAGATGTTACAATAATAGACCAAGCAGCTGGCCATCCTCACGATTTTACATACAGCATCTTGCATCAAGCCTAACTTCATTTATTTGTTTACGGTCAGTGATTTGAATGGGCACATGGTAAGTAGCTACTCCATATTGACAATATAAATAAGGTCGTTTATCCTTTCAAAGGAATTAATGACACTGCATTGGTCCCTCCGGTGTGTTACCGGTAGTGTAAAAGCTGACATCTAAAATTTCAAATTGTAACATCCAACACAGCACATATATTTCAGCAAAGTCAAGAAGTCGTCCATTGTCTCAGGCTTGGGGTTTTGAGGCACAAGGTTCTTGACTCTACTTCTATAAGGCATGAAAACACAAAATTTCAGATGTATTTACTGGTAATTCATACATTCTATAGATAAACTGTAACCAATCATTTCAGAAACACTACAGATATAATACAGGCAATCGGTATACTGCATCCTCACATCACCAATGAATTTAAGGATTGGCTTCATTTTGAGGGCGAATCACATAGAATTCCCCCCTGGATGATGCATTTTTCACAACGTGCATCAGTCCTGTGAAGTAATGCAGAAGCCAGTGTCTGGTCTGTTCCGTGAGCCCAATCTTTAATTAACTCTGTATAAAAAGTATCTCGGAGGGAAAGATGGGTGGAAGGAGAATTTAGGATTTATTGAGAGGAATTCTATGATCAGAAACACATGTAGCAATGTATATATTAACCAGAATACCATTCTGTACGAATTATTATCTTTCCTTCCCAAATTATTTTTTTTAGATCCCCAGCTGAGAAATAAACTGGCAAAAATTTACATTCTCTTCTCTTAAAAAAGTAACTAACATTATTCAAAGTTAATTAGCTGTAAGACATACATTACAATTACATAGATACATATTATCAATACAGCACATTCAATCTGCCAAAATTAATTATCACAAAGCCAATATGGATACTGCCATATATATATGTATGCATGTATGTATATAAAGAGAGAGAGAGATGTATATACAATGATTATAGCATTCATAATTCACTATACCTACAACCAGGTTTTACAAATTACAGGATTTTTGTCTGTGAGGGTACAAATGCATGTTAGGTGGAGGGGTAGGAATTAAGGTAAGCAATCATAACTCATTAACTTTGGTACTCCACAACCAAAGGGGTCCCAACTGCTTTTCTCAAGCAGAATATCATGTACAGAGATATCCAACGCTTTGCTGGTGGACAGAATGGATCGTCTCATCCAGCTGGTTGACCTTGGTCCTACTCGTAATTTCTTTGCTATCAGTTCATAGGTCAGAAATCTAAAAACTAAGGAGCTCAAGGGATTCTCTGGCAGCCATTCAAATAACTTTCTTCACAAGAAAACTTTATTTTCTAAAACAAACTCCTTCAGAAATCCGGAGTTAGCAACACATGCCTACAGTAGGACAAAATCAATTATACAGGGTAACTTTCCAGAGTGAGTTATGAATAAAACTATTTTGGTATGAATTTCACGAGAATATAACCAAACAAATAAAGTTTCTTTAATAAGAGTAAAAACATGAATATTGTACCATGTAACATGGGTGTGTTTAAAAAAAATTGATACAAAGTTGGACACAGACACTAAGTGATGATAAAGAATGGTATACAACTAATCACAAATACTAAACATTGTGAAGAGCACCAAATATATATTGTTTTCTTCTCACATTTATTTTGGCATATGTCCATCAAAATAGCTTTTAGAAGAACCCTATGAGCTGAGGCTTACAATCCATCAATATTCTGGTCATGCCTATCCCTGTGATACAATCCACATACTTCAGGCATTTTTAACAAAATAATATTCATTTAAATGAAATGTTGAAGCTAGCAGGAAAAACGCCACACGGGTGGCAGTATTAAAATTGCACTCAATAAAAAAAAGTCTAAAGTGACATTGAACAATTATGCTGGAGCAAAGTAAGCATGTCAATGATGTCTCCAGCCACACTTCTAAAGGGAGAGAAGAAATGTAACGCTCAGATTGCAAGAATCTGCAAATGTAGTGTACATGACATTATGTTTGGCATTTTTTTTAATAAAACAAGTCTAGCAATAGTAATAGTGGCACATAATAAATAGAAATGAAACCCTATATACTATTTTACAAATACATAACATTCTCTCAATATTGTACTCTGTCGTACATCTATCCATCCGTGTTTTGGGGAATCCAAGTATGGCAACTTCCAAAGATGAGTCATGATGGCAATCAACTATTGCTTAATAAGTTCCCAACTTCATAGCCCAAGATGAGGACAGGTAGCGTAGTACCAAACTTGATGTTTAAATTATATATAACAATAATTTAAAAATCACAGGATCAATACTTCTCATCCATCAGAAAATAGTAGTACATAAATTATATAACTGATGGCTTGGTTTCAACCAAAACAAATTTCTTACTATATTAACTTTGTACCAGAGTGTCAAGAGGAACAGATCACAAAATAAAGGCTGTTGTACCTCAAACATTTTCAGTGGGGTTGGGGAGGGAGGGGGGGTGAAAATGGGGGAGGGAACGGAGGAGGAGGAGGGGATCAGGAGGAGGAAGTGGGGGGAGGTGGGGGAAAGAGGTAGGGGGTGCTCAGAGAAGCAAAAGTAAACCCCTAACTTCTGAATGCATAAATGGAATTTACAACGGAAATTGAAAAAATCTTACACAAAGTCACAACATTTTGCCTAAAAAGAGGACCAGTGCTGCAAAGTTATGTCAGCATCTTTTGTCCCATTGTTTAAATAAAATCGCAATATTTACTAAAACCCTGTGAGTGCACAGAGTCCAGGATGGCAATAAATTAGCATTACGCAACTCATTTTCACAGATAATACAGTTGCTTTTACTTTTTTCCCAGGTCGAGTTAATGAACTAGACCAGGTTATATTCCTTCAGGTTTAACTGTAGGATAGTGTCCTTGACAGCAGCAAAGACAAACCGTATATTCTCTGTATCTGTAGCACATGTGAAGTGAGAGTAGATAATTTTGTCACTATCAGGGTTCAGGTCCACAAACATCTTCAAAATGAACTCCCTCGCGGCTTGTGCATCTCGTTGCGGACCTATTACCAACATAATGGGAAGGGACAATAGTTAGTTAGGTAAACACCTATCAAAGAGTCCTCATACACGCCTATAGTGGACTGCTAAGACTGCAAGAATACCTGGAGCTTCAAGATCTGTATTTAGTGTTCGATTCCAAATAGTAGCTTTTCAATGTGAATTGAATGTCTATATTTGCAGTGTTTATGCAAATGCATCATGAGTATGTAAATCATTAAACTGCAAACTTGGCAGTAAAATGGTTTCAAATAGTAACTCGGAATTTGTAGACAATGGTTGAAAAATTATTTTTAGAACAAAAAAAATTGGTTCTTTCTCTGACCCCTCTCCCCGTCTCCCTTGAGTCACTCAAATCAGTAATTTGTCTTGTCATCTGGGACTGATCATCTTCCTCGATGCTCAAGAGGTAAGACATAACCCCACCTCTCTGCCATAAATGTTATCTCTCTGACAGGCAGTTATGAACATCAGTCATCAGTAGAAGCAATACTGTGTCTAGAAAGAGATGTATCGATATTGCAATTTACAAGATATTGACAACAGAAAATGAGCCAGACTTGCTATTGTGTGAAATCACAAGTAAAGATCATTGCTTCACCTTAAGTCTGTATACAGCACAGAAACCCAGTGACATTTTAGTGCTTCTGGATCCTCACATGATTTCTAATATTGCTCCCATTTTTAACAAGGATTAAATACAATGACAGGAAGTCATCTGTCAATGTTGGTGAAAAATAAAGCATTTCTGAGTTGCTGAGGTGACAATCGACTGTTCTAGGATCTGTTTGAAGTGGAGGACAGGGCACTCCCAGCATGGTCATTTATTAAAAGGCATCCAATAGCTGCTGAAAGGTAATTACTTAACATGCACCAAAAATGTAACCCTCGAGTGTCAACCAGTTCTGAACCTTTTCAGATCATGTGCGATGTCGCTGAATCTTCTCCACTGAAATTACAACCAAAAAAGCTACTCAAACATCAATATTACTTTAGAGAGGCTAAACAATAGCCTCTCTAACCCATTTACATAACTGCATAAAGACATAATTTATACCATAAAACATTTTTTTGCTTGTATTTGGCCCATTTGTCCTCTTTGCTTTACCTGGTCATATTTTAATTGCAACTTGAATTTTATTTTTACCAATATCTATCCATTACAGATTTTATTTCCAGAACATCTTAAATTCAGTTTATTATCTTTGTTCTTTCTTCCAGCTTTCACCATTCTTTCTGGAAGGTGGGAAGCAAGGTTTTGTTATATCGTGCACAAAAATAGCCTGACTAACTTTGCAGCCATTGAGAGCTTAAAAACCCTGAAGATTGACAGGAGTGTGCCAGAATTGGCCCCATCAAACCCAGAGTGGAAAATCAGGGGTGGGAGGCAGCCTGGAACATCACTATGGATAAACTTTCTCTGTAACCAGATTCAAAAAATTGTTCATCATCAGTACTCCAGGAATATTTTACATGTCTGACATATTTCACACTTCTACATTTCGTGTGTTTCACCCACAGTCGAACCACTCCACAATATATCCTGATATGATAAGGCACTGTATCTATATTTCCACTCTCTTTATCGCCATATAATATTGCCACTCTCTTTATCTCTTGTGAAGTTGTTGATTTGTGTTGGATCCACAGGCACAGGTTCCCCGCAGGGAAGCATCCGATCTCATGGATGAGCCTGAACTCGAGAGCTGACAATGCTATGTGACCCTGAAAGCATCACAACGCAGCTCACTCCTGTTATTCCCCAACACAGTTTCTTATCTAAGAGCTACTGGATTTCAAGTGGGATAATATTCGTTAGGATTTAAAGTCTTAATTGATTTACACTGGATCCTTCTGGAAAACAATGCCTAGGTGGACGTTGGGTAAGAACAGGCTGTACTTGGCTGTGATTTCTTCTCTCTGCCCCATGGTCAGATAACTTACCTACATTCACTGTCTGGTTTTGCACATGAAGAATGGCTACTTTGCAAGATACAAGGAAGTAGCCACTGTGCCAGTGCAATGAGCCCCAGCAAAAAGTCAATGACTTGAGGGAAGGGTTGGGGTGGGGTGAAAGAGAACACACATTAATGGATTTACTCCAGGACACATCGTCAGAGCAGTTGAGTGGGACAGTCGAAACCAACATGACATGGCAATGATTCTCAAAATAAAAACATGCTACCAAAAATCAACAGGAAATCTTGTTTTGGGTTGTGTGTTTTTGGATGTGTGTGGGGAGAAGGGGACGGAAGAGAAAGGTGGGTACCTTGGAAAAAGTCTCAAACATTATCACTGTTTATCTTTCGGTACGGCTTTCCTCATTCTTTGACAGAATTTCAGCTTCCCACAGAAATGGAGAATGGCGAATTCCCCAATGGCTCAGCCAGGTTAGTCTGTCAGCAACTGCGCCTTACAGACTGGGAAAGTCAAAATGATGTTCAGGCTATGTCAAATGATCTTTCCTATTCTGTTGTATATAAACCTTCATTCGGTGGCAAAACTTTAATTATTTGCCCATAGGAGGCAATGAGGCTCAGGATATTATATGTATAATTTTTTTAAAACTTTTTTTAAAGAATGAGGAAGATCAGATCCACATAAGTCATCTAACATGCTTCCTCAAACAAATAGAAGTATAGCAATGTATAACAATTCTCAGTGTGAGCTTGATAAACTACATTTATAGGATAACGTAAGAGAACAGCAGCACCAAGTATTGTCATCAATAAAGACAGGGTAAATACCACTCCAGATCACGGTCTTGCAATTGACCCTGAGAGGAATTCTGTATTTCTGTATTTTAGGTCAAAAAAGCTATGGTATGTATTTTGGCTTATCCCACCTCACCAGGAGCTTCACAGTCTATTATATTTCTCTCTTTTTCTTTCTTCCACTGAAGACATTCAACTAAGGCTTCAAGGCCAACTATCAAAGTCCTGGTGCGTCCAGCTCAGCGACTGTTAAGCGCTCCGAGATGCTGCTCCATGTGAAGGGCACTATATAAATGCAAGTTGTTTTGCTGTCACAGCTTGGATCAACTAGCAACACAAACAAGATTAAATTTTTTCCAACTGTACGACTGAGATATTCATTGAACAAATGTGTAGAATGATCAGGGGTAGATCCAATACATTGCTCAATTTGCCAACCTCGGTCAGGATCTAACTGAGACCCTGGTCTCAAAGGAAATGAACAAATTCCTGGATTGATGTGGCTCATTTGTTCTATCTTTGTAAAAGGCTAGTGCTCTGTACAATTTAATTAATGCATCAGGGATTATTAATGGATAATGTTTTATTTCAACAGAAGAAATGTGAACTAGAGAACGACTATCAATATCATAGAATCATAGAATTATACAGCACAGAAGGAGGCCATTCGGCCCATCATGCTGCCACTGACCCTTTAATATCACGGGATTCTATTTTGATTACAAGTCTCTTATGTGGCACTTTATCAAATGCCTTTTGAAAATCCATATAAACTACATTAACTGCACTACCTTCATCCACCCCCTCCGTTACTTCATCAAAAAACTCTTATTAGGTTTGTTAGACACGATTTGCCTTTTACAAAACCGTATTGGCTGTCCTTTATTAACCCATATTTTCTAAGTGAAAATTTACTTTATCCTGGATTATAGTCTCTAGAGGTTTCCCCACTACTGACGTTAGGCTGACTGTCCTGTAGTTCCCGGGTTTATGCTTCTGTCCCTTTTTGTACAGAGGAGTAACATTTGAAATCCTCTAATCCTCTGGCACCACATTGGTGTCCAAAGAGGATTGAAAGATTGTGGCCAGAGCCTCCGTTATTTCCACCCTTACTTCCCTCAGTAACTTAGGACGCATCCCATCCGGACAGGGCGACTTATCTACCTTGAGCACCGTCAACCTTTTTAATATCTCCTCTCAGTTTATTCTTATCCAATTTCTCTACCCGCTCCTCCGATACTGTGGCATTGGCTGCACCCTCTTCTTTTGTGAAGACAGATTCAAAGTACTCATTCAGTACATCAGCCGTGCCCTCTGCTTCCACAAGAATATTTCCTCTTTGGTCCCTAATTAGGCCCACACTACTTTTGACTAAACATTTATTCTGTATATGCCTATAAGATACTTTAGGGTTCCCTTTTATGTTACCCGCTAATCTTTTCTCATACAATCTCTTTGCCCCTCTTATTTCCTTTTCCAGTTCTCCTCTCTACTTTCTATATTCTATTTGATTATCTTCTGTATTGTGGACCTGACATTTATCATGAGCCTCCTTTTACTGTTTTATTTTAATCCCAATTTCCTTATTCATCCAGGGAGGTTTGGATGCCCTACCTTTTTCCTTTGTGGGAATGTATTTGTTCTGTCCCTGAACTATCTCCTTCTTGAAGGCTTCCCATTGATTGTTAGCTGTTTTACCTGCCAATCTTTCTTTCCAGTCCACCTTGGCTAGGTCCCTTTTTAACTCACTGAAATTAGTCCTCTTTCAGTTGAGTATGATCCCCTTTGATTGTTCCTTGTCCCTTTCCATAAGTATTCTAAACCTAATGATGTTGTGATCACTGTTGTCCAGATGCTCTCCTATTGAAACCTGCTCCACTTGCCCTAAGTAAATGGGCTTTCTGGCCAATGTTACTCACTCACAATTATTGGATCTAATAGAATGTTAAAGTAGTACCCAAGTCAATATGGAGTGAAGCAAATTTCACGGAGTGCTTTAGAAACAGTTGGGAGTGACTCATGTGTAAGGACTCCAATCATCCAGTTGCTGTGATTCCTCAGAAAAATGGAAGCCTTTACTCAGCACGTGGAAGATGACTGGTTAATCAGTGGTGTCTGAATATTGAAACCCTCCATCTACACTCACTGTATTAATATGTGCCAAACTATGAATTATTGTATTATGTAAATATACTATGGGAACTGGGCTGTAACTGGATTATCTCATCTCTGTTAAAACAACGACTTTTATTAGCCCAGATCTGAGGTGAAAAATCAAGCCATGTACCAATCCCCTCCAGTTCCTTCTGAGTAGAGATTGCAGACAGCCATGAATTTAAAATATGGAATTCAACTACGAGTATAGCTATGTCAAATTAATGCCTTTTTTTATATAATTGTTAATACATATATTTTTACATTTTTACAATTTTTTATATTTTTAAGAAGAATCCAAATTGGACCATTTTGAATTATGACTCTGAGTTCAAACACTGACTGATGAGCACTGAACTAGTTATTTGCCTTAAACTGGGACAAAATGCATGTATGTCAGTTTGCTTCTAAATTCTTAGTTTGAGCAGCAGTCATATAGGCAAGGATAGTCACTATTATGTCCTTCTAAATTCTGATTAAGCCAACCCTTTGAACTTAATTAAGCAGTTAAGCACCCACATTGCTGGGTGCTTGTCTAAAGTGTTCCTTATCGGCTTTAAGGAAATCCCCCTCCCATTGTATCACTCCCCTCTGAACAGCAGAGTTCCCACTTTAGCGGACTTAGAAAGATCAAATGTAATGAATTTTCCCTTTATATTTATGGCATGCACAGTCTAAATTAACTTTCCCTTTATTTAAATTCAGGAGCTGAAGGGTCAAGTGGAATAGTGCAATACATCACCAAGCCTGAAAAGAGCAGCAACGCAACAAAATTCCATAAGTCAAAATGAAATAGTTAGAGGACGACAAGCTTGGGTTTTCAAAGTCTATAAATTATATGAGGAATGGAAGGCATGGGGAGACTAGGAGTTCCAGTCTTCAGATCCTGGGAAAAGTAAATCAGTCTAGAAGTTGAAACAGTGTGATGAGGTTTGATTTCAGTACAGTGAAGAGAAGGAAGAGTGTGTGAGACAAGAGACTTGATTTTAAATTAATAAACTTCACTGCCTCATTGCTCACACGTGAGGAATAATTTAGCAGAATTTTGTCTTTATTCCTCTTCAGTGAAGCACATTAGTGCAACTATGTCAATGATCTTTTGTATTTGATTACATCTTCCAGCCTGAGACACACTCTTGCGACACTATTAAATTAATATTTTTTTCAGTGATTTCTGAAGTGAAGTTGTTTGCGTGGAAAATGAACATATTTTCACTTACTTTGGGCTGCCAGCAAATTTCCTGTTGAAACACAGGACACTTTGATGCAGAGCAAAATTCTCTCAACTCTGCTTCCAATGTGACTTAACCCCAGCAAAAGAAGTGTAGCAGTGTAAACTCTCCTATTGAAACACGAGTCATTCAAAATTCGGTGCCAAGTTGTGGCTAACTATTCTGTTGTGCGGTAAAATACAAATTGATTTCAGGTTCTTTCCACAAGTCATTAGTATCCTAATGACAAAAATATAATGGAATGTGATTTTATTTGTTGTTGCTTTAGGAGCTGACTTATGCACTGATTGTAATTTTAAAAAACTTCTAAAAATGTGTGAATATTTTAAGGAATTTTAAATTCAATGGGTCAATTTGGTGCTTGATATCTAGAGAATTGAATGCATTTGGATGTACTTGTTATGGACGTCCCCTCGACACTGCCACTATTAAGCACTTCGCGACACTATTTCATGTGAATCAAGTTGTTCCCAACGGTGAACAGGTCAGCTCTTCAAATATGTGGTTTATTTACTAAAGCACGATATCCTGTTAACTAGCAGAAGCTCACGCTCAGCCAGGTTGAAATCCAGTGCCAAGGGCCTGCCTTTGTCATTGAGAATGGAATTGGGAGGTGGAGAATAAGGGAGTATAGGATGGTTCACTAAAATGACCCCATTCTTGTGTGAGACAATGAACAAATGCAATTGTGACTCTTTTAAAGAGCATCTCATCACCAGGGCTCATTTTAATAATCCATTGAAGAATTCTGACCAACTGCAGGGATTGTTGAGCATTTTTGCTTAAATTGGGAAGGAGGATATTATTGGCCCTTGGAAAAGTTATTCAGTCTGAATTAATATAGAGTTAACACTGCACCCTTAGGTTAATGATTAACTCTATTGATAGCAAATGAACTCTGTAAACCACAGACATGATAACTCATTCACGCTGATTATCTCAGGGGAATCGGTGCCGACAATTGAAGTTAAAATATCCAAAACAGAAATGAATGGAACATTAACGGTGTGTTCATTCACAAATATTTTGATTTTTTTTAAAAAAGGAACATAGGTCATAGAATCAAAGAATGTTATGCCAGAAACAGCAATTCAGCCCATCCACTCTGCCCTGGTGCTTTTCTCCATATTAACCAATTGAATCCTACTCTCCTACTTGCTCCAAAAATGTTTTACAATTCATGAGTTTAATTTTTGGTAAAATTACTCCCTTCAATGAATCTCAGTGGATGATAAGAACATAAGAAATTAGCTAGAAAAAAGACCAGGGTCAATCGAGTTTGCCTTCCATCATCCTGGCACTCACATGACATGTTGTGTCCCAAACTACATGCTGTATTCCAAGATATTATTTTCTAGATATTAATTACCTAATTTGTTCTTGAAACAAACAACACTTTCTGCTTCCACTGTCTCCCTAGGGAGCCTGTTCCATAAGTTTACTACTCTCTCACTGAAGTAATGTCTCTGCAGATTCGTTCTGAATTTACCCTCCTTCAATCGCAGGCCGTGTCCTATGGTTCTACTGTTCAGCACAAGTTAAAACAGCTAATCATGGTCTACGTTATCTAGTCCCTTTAGAATCTTAAAGACGGTAATCATACCTCCACTCAACCTTCTCTTCAACAGCATGAACATACCCAGTTTACCTGATCATTTGCTTCATCTATGGAATTTTACCGAATTAGTTGTGTCTATTATAATAATAATCTTTGCGCTTGATGTACCTTCTCAAATCGAAAAATCTCAAAGTGCTTCCGTTTTCTATAATTCGTCATAATTACCTGTAGGTGATCAAATATGTTTGTATTTGCATTGTGCACCACGTGCAAACTATGTGCACAGATCAGCTGACTGGCAAATAGATGTACTTATATCATTAAAGAAATGAAAAAGATTGGTAAGTTACATTATTAATAAATCCTTTCCAAGGGTTAACTAATAATCAAGTGCACCTTTAATTCTCTGTACACATGGTGCATTATACTATCCTTACACACATCATTAATACTCCTATTATTACACACTGCGCATGTTACTCCTGTTTTTACACATTGCGCATAATAGTTCTGTATTTACACATGGTGCATAATAGACCTACTGCTTTCACAGCATTTTGAACAGTATAATAATACATCTGGTCAGCTGTATTATTTTTTTCTTGTACAGAAGTGTAATATGGAATGAATTTATCAAATGCTTCACAGAAACAATGGGGATCTGGGAGGCAATGCAGAATCATTATGTACCACAATTTACTTACCATCATATTCTGGGAAATAATCAACTAGATGGGAATACATGATCTTTTCCTCCAGGAGATCCTTCTTGTTTAAGAAGAGGATGACTGAGGAGTTTTGGAACCAGGGATATGTGATAATTGTCCTAAATAGTGCTTTGCTCTCCTCCATTCGATTCTGGAATAAATTACAGTAAAACAAGTGAATTCACAGAAACGGAAAGTAGATAAGTGCTGAGGCACTGCAGTTTATCACTGAAGACATGGATTCAAGGCCAGCCAGGAAGTAATCATCTGTCAAGAGTACTGGTGATAATTGCAAAATTAGACTAAGTACACACTGTGGGGAGGGAGGGGAAGGGAAGGGTAAGGTTAGCTAACACTTGAGGAGGAAAATACTTACAGGAGAGTGTCCTCACATAACTTTTCTCTGAAAGATTAAAGGCAAATATTCTGTTGTATGTAGGGTGAATAAATGAGGAAGAATCTGATTTCCAGAACTTTTGCTCTTTTAAAAGCTGAGCAACTGACAAAGCTGCGTTAGTGGTCTAACTGATACCAGACCTCAGGTTTTAAAAAACCATAAGGCTCTAAATCACCTTGAAGAACTGTTTACACAAGTTATCTCCAGATTGTAAATTTGGTGCCAGGATGGGACAGATCACTATTGTGTTTTTCAGGAAGTTTTGTTTGCATTATTTGCTCGCTTAGCTGTTCAATAGAAGGGTTCAAAACTAGACAAGAGACTCCCAGATCTGCAGCTTTAATGTACACAAAAACATTTGCAGAAGCTTTTTAAAACATATTTTGTGCAACAAGTGAATAAGCTTAATACTTATTACCTACAGTACCATTTCTATTTTAAGTATTTCTTTATGCTTAGTTGGGTCTATCCGCTTAATGGATCTGCAACAGTTTTACAGCTAAATTGCTCCCAGAGCTCTGAAAATGCTTTTTTTATCACTAGAAACTGAGAAGGCATGAGAATGGAGTCCAAATATGACTCCTCCTTTTTTCCCTGTGGAGGTGCACTCAGCACTCAGCATTCACTTAGCATTTTTCCCCACAGCAACACGCTGTGATCAGGAGGTAGAGTGAGTAGGTTTCATGGGTATTCATGTTCCTACAACCCATCACTCCAGGGAATTGTGTGTTGGTGTTCCAGGACTATTACGCCACTGAGAATACTACACATTTTCAAAGCAGTACAATGAATGTGCCAATTTGGAGCAATGGGCTCCTTTAGATGTAATGGCACACAAAGAAAATAGAAGCCTTTTCATTCGGTTCCTGACTTTGTAAGGAACTTTATTGCTTCACTTCCAAGCAAAATGAATGGTTCTAACCTGCATAAGACAATAAAACTGAACTGCAAATACATGCATTTTCCACAAAACACTACATTATATTGGATATAACCCAGGAAAATTTCAGTCTGTGTTGTTTAAATCAAACTTGGCTTCGGTTGTAGTTGGAGGGGCTTTTTGGCCTTGACTCTCCGACGCTGAGAAGGGAAAGAGGATACAAGATTCCTGTTCTCAATTTCTATCCAGTGACCAAGGCCAATGGAATGAACCTGTGAGGAGAAGAAGTGAGGACAGGACTGTCTTCCTTGAATAATTAAACAACCTGACAATATTTATTGTGCAGGATCACACAATAGTCATTTGGCGAGACACCAAAAAACTGTTGCCAACTGTATCTAGTCCTGAGATGCCACCTTCAGGAGAATAAAGGGTAAACAAGGAAAAGTACACAGGGAAGTTTATTACTTTTTAACTAAAACTAGTTTTGTAATTATTTGTGCAGCGCGTACCTATAGCTTTTCCTTTAACCGTACTGAATATTAATTATATTGCTTTGTTTTGGAATCACTCATACGTTGCGTATACTTCCTTACAAGAAACGATTATTAAAGGATATGGTGAGAATAATAATCCTTGCATTTGATATAGCACCTTATCACATCTTTGAGACGTCTCATAGCGCTTCACAGAATATACTGTAAAGTGAATTGACTGTATATTTTGTGGGTGAAAGCAGGGAAGTGGTGATAATATGTAGTACAACTGAATGGTCTGTGGCAGAGCAGGATCGGTGAGCTGAATGGCCTTCTGCTATTCCTAAATTCCCAAGTCTTTCTACATAACCAGTGCATTACATTTTAGGGCGACAAAAACACAGACATACTTTACTTGACAATATATCCTGGGAAGTATTCTAGGACATCCTCCTGTCATGAAAGATGCTATTCAAAATGCAAGTATTATTATTACAACAGTATCAGCATCATTCCAAAAATAAAATAGTCTCACAACTTTAATGTTTTTTAATTCCTCAATGCAACTGAGAAGTGGGCAATAATATGTACAAGACCATTTTAATTAAACATTTTACACTTTTATAGCACCTTTCACAAGGATAATCTCTTCGTTAAAATTGGTAATTCACTTCAAGGCTGTTTGTGGAATCTTGCTGTGTACAAATTGGCATCTGCCTTAACCGTAATATAGTTATTACACTTTACAGTAAATCCTGCGAAGTACTTTGAGATATCATCCTGACGTGAAAGGCACTATACCAAATGTAAGGATTATTATTTATTCTGTGGGTCCCCATTATCTTTGCCTTCTACTGCCTAATTCCATATTCACATCTTCATAACCTTCAGACTTGATTTCTCAAATACACTACTTCCTGGCCTCCATGAGCTCCAGCTCATCCGGAACTCTGCAGCCCAGACCCTCTGCCTCACTAAACTCTGCAGAATCATTATCCCACCTCTGCATGGTCATTCGTATCACAGTTGTTTGTGGGACATTACTTTGTGCAAATTGGCTGCTGCATTCAACTGCAAAATGCAGTCAACACTTTTCAGTGAATTCCATGAAGCTCCTGACGTGAAAGGCGCTATACAAATGTAATTTGGTTGTTTTTTCAGTGAATCTCATGAAGCGCTTTGAGATGTCCTTTTGAAAGGCATTATATCAAATGCAAGGATTATTCTTCTTGCCAAGTGCATTCTCCCCTAATAAAAAGTGGAAAGGAGAAGGACATATATGTACTTCAAAGGGACAAGGATCCTGAAAAAACATCCTCTATTAGCATACGGTTTTACATCATTACCAGTGGTATGTGGAGAATGAATGAATGAATGAATAAATGAATGAGCAATCAAAATTATACTGGAAATTAACGTGGACTAATTCAGCCACAAAGCCAGAATTTACTTTGGAGCACAATCAAGAATGTATGTTTATGTACTACAGTAAGCAGCTTGAACATGGTTTATCTCAGTAAGTGTGACAGACCATGGGCACGCCGAGCCTTCCTTGCAAAAGCAGTTTTAATGGTTTTAGTTTCCTAGTTTGTTGATTTACCAAAGCATATAAACCTCTCTCACTTAGTTCCTAGTCTATAACCCTGAAGCAAAGAGTAAACTCACTTCCGAAGGTCAATTAGAAATGTATTTCATTTAGTAGTATTTGCAGACTTCTTATTTTAACTGGGTTAAGTCAGTGTATCTCAACAACTAGTACGAGGGGCAGTGTTTGTACATGATGACCTCATGGCTGGTCCATATGTGGGATCTCTTTAGATTGAGTGACCAGACAGGCACATTTACTAATAATCCAAACATTTTAAGAAGAAACTGAACAGGTCCTTGGAATCAAAGAAGATGATGACCACAGGGTGTTTGTCACCTCCATTAATTTTCTGGGATCTGGCAAAAGTAGTAACTGGAACTTGGAAGCAAGCAACCCATGTATCTTATGAACTGAGAATTAGTTGGGAGGGAAAGAACCATAAGTTTGATGGGAAAAAAAATTCTGTTTATGTCTGCAGTAATTTTCTCTTCTTTTCTGCGAGGAGGCACCTTCCCATTATTGAAAGAGGAACGCAGTAGATTGAGAATCAAACCTGCCTCCCACCACCTTGTGGTGCCAAAAGCTGAAATCCAACATGGAGAGTTGCCATGCCCCAAATTCAATCAATTAATTACACGTCAGTAGACACTTCTTCACACAAAACGTTGTGAGAAATTGGAATACACTGTCCCAGAAAGCAATGGGTGCAGAATCAATTGGAAAGTTTAAAAGGGGACAGACAGACAGATGGAAACAGACAGTCAGAGACCGATACTAATTTTCAATGTGGAGTTGAACCCACAACCGTTTAACTTGGAGGTGAGAGTGCTATCAATTGAGAAAGGCTGATAGAAAGAAATCTGGTTTAAAATTTAACTTACTTCTGCAAATATATTTCTCTCATATAGGATGCAATGAATACTGAAGGAAATAAGGGCAGAGCAATGAAGGCTTTAGGTAGACCTATGTTAATTAAAGACAACTTACTAGCATTAATACTTGAGGATGCCAGGAGGTCAATTAAGGTAGCTTGTTCAAGACAAAGTACCATGTTGGTTTGGATTATGTAACTGATACACTTAAGATTGTTGCTGTGGATATTCACTGCTGACCTATAGGATTGTACCCACCTGCTGCTAAGCAGATTGATCTCTCATTTATCTATTGATTCCTGCTGCTTTATGAAGTGGGTGTCAAATTCCAGACCTTTTCTGCACACCATTGCTCCTACAGTCCCTGATCCTCAGTTTGCATTAATAACAACTAGTGACAACCTACTTAGCACTCCAGGCTACCATTCACGATAATTCCATCTGCAGTGTTTACCACCCAGAATAACACACCATTAAGCTGAGTCTTTAGAGATGACAAGTTACAATACCAAAACAATACCAGTGGGAGGCCTGAAATTGTTGTCTTAAAATTTTTTTGCAGAATTTTGCAAAAATTGCTTTAATTTGGAAGCTGATTTACTGCAGTTTTTTTGAAAAACAATTCAGGCCTCAAGAACTTCTGTGGGTCTGATCTCTGGAGACTCTACTGCCATTCCAAGTATCAAGTCAAAATCATCAGTGATACAGAAATATTTATTTTTCTCCATGAGAAAATGAGGTGTGGAACAATGGTACTCATTATTGAAAACTCTATTAAAATACCTTTTCATTTAATAAGCACAGAGTACTCTTTTTAAAATAAATGTTTAGATACAATTATGTGTACACATGTACAAACAGCACTATTCTCCCAAATACTTTCCTGAAAATGTTAAAGGTTTCCTATCAAACTTACAGTAATTGCATCACAAGGGAGTATAATGTTGTGTGTGTGTATGTGCGTTGTTCAGCACCACATTGAGACTACAATGCTCTAGAAAACAAACATGTTGTACCAAGATTTAACAGCAAAACTTGCATAATATAAAATAAGGAGACAACAGGAAGGGAATAGAATCTCCAGGTGAAGCTTTTATCTATTCAATTTTCACTCTTCTGTAAATTTCACACACTGTCTTCTAACTCGCTCCCTAGGTCCTTACTATTCAATAACAAATTACCCACATCTTTCATGTAGGAAAAAATGTCAAAGCGCTTTAAATTTAGGTGGAGTGGGAGCTCAAGCTGCATGGGAGTTAGAGGATTTGGGGGTGGGGGAGGGAAGATGCATCCAAAGGCACATTTTTTTAGACGGATATTGAAAGTCTTCAATAAGTTATATAGCAAATCCACTTATCACGTGGTTAAATTTAAAAGAAGCTACGTTTGTAAAACACATGAAACAGATTATTACATTAGACAGAATATACTAAAATATACATCAGAGCAACAAGGAGAGAAATTAAGTGAACACACACTGGTTACTAGGTAAAGCAATGATGTGAATGGTTAACACAACATGATATACTTTAGTACATTCACTTGATTTTATCAATTTCTCCACCTACCTCTTGCTCAGCTGCTGCTGTAACTAATTTGGTTTTTGGTTTTAAACCATTTAAGAAACAGTAATCTGAAACAATTTTTATGAAGAGGCATCCATGAAGTAATCAACCGTAAGGAACATGTATTGTTAAAATCACAGCCTCACAATATAATTGTTATTTATACGGTAATCCCCCATTATAACACACTGTTTTGATTAACAAAAATCAGACCAGTGTTATAAGGTGGCATGTTAAGAAATACCAGCCAGTCATCACTTCCTGGTGGTCAATGTCAATGACTGTTAATGTAATTTTCTCGTTACAGGAGGCTGGCCAGCTACTGCTGAAAGCTAGAGGTGTATTGCATAAACCTATAAGCAGATGTGCTATACCAGGACATGACTGTAGTTTTCCTTTGTGCTGGAACAATTATAGTAACACTGATACACGTTTTGCAGTTAACCAACATACAATCTTATCGGATACACATAAATGCAGACAGCAAGGCTTCATTGCTAACATCACTGCATATTACCACCGCCATGAGAAGAAATTTCTTTAAATAAGTTTCACCAATATCACCTCCAAGTTTACAAGAGTTTTCAAGGAATTATCTTTTTTTTTGATCTGCTCTGTCCAATATGGGTGTTTGTCCTTCCAAATATTTGTTTTATGAATGCTCAGAAGCAGTGGGTTAAATAAATTACTGAATTAGTTACAGAAACATATCCTGGAATAATTCAGCTCCAACATTTTGTGTTAAAAAAATATTTTTGTTGTTAATTCAACAATTATATTGTGAGGCTGAATAAACTTTCCTACCATTATTAGCCATACTCAGTAAGCTTTTACATTTCTCTTCATAAATATGGAATAAAACATTTGCTAGCGTTACTGATGAGCAATTGTAGACCTATAATTACCAGAAAGGCCAGAACATTAATGCCCTTCAGATTTATTTTTACACAAACACGGGGCACACTGAGAGTGAGCCTCTCTATTTCAAGATGCATACCATGCACACACTAGCAGCAATGTGGGAAGCCCATTTAATGAATCTAGTTGAATATACAACAATAAACAAGCTTTTGCAGCTGCATAGCTCATAAACATTTAGATCAATAACTTCACCTTTAAGCTAATATTTGGGTCTCAGAATTGTTAATATGAAAAATAGAAGAGAGGTTAGAGGAAAATTGTTAGGACTTGGAATGAATTGTCCCAAGTGACAATAGAAGCTGTCTCAATGGAATCATTCAAAAAGGAATTGGATAAACACTGGGCAGTAGCACATTAAGGAGAAGAACATTATAGAAGGTGGGATTAATAAAAAGATGACTTAATAGTACAAGTGGGAGTAGCACAAACTCAATGATGCTGAACATTTCTATGTTTCTATGGACTCAACAACTCTAAACAATAAAACGTGCATCAGTTTCTGCATTAGTTATCCACACTGATCATGAATTTTATAAATAGATCGGAACATGACAATTAAAATTGAACTAGAATATTTCAATTCACTTTAAAAAATCAAGAATCATGTTATAATCTAATTCAATACAAAATATGGATACATTAACAGCTAAAAAATTCCGGAAAAAAAATACTATTCTCAAATTGTTCTTTTGTCAACATAATTTCCCTTTCCCCTGGGTGCACACTTGCTTACTACTGTATGGTCTTTGTCCATTTTGCTCATTTTTGCTTACAATTTAATATTCCAATTTTCTTTCCTCACTTGCAATTTACCCATATGACTTAGTTGTGTAACTACAGAAATGTAATTATTAGAAAGGAAGAGAGAGAGGGTGGTGAACGAAAAATAGCAGACAATAGACTTGGAACTGCAAGAGCAAAGAGAAATAGCCAGAGTTATCAGTTGCACTGGACAGGAAACTACTGCACACTGGGAATATTCACAATCTAACAGGAAGTGAGGAAGACATAAGACAGACAAGAGTGGTGATATACCAATAAATATGACAAGACACCAACATATAGGATGAGCAGGCAGTGAGTTGTGAGGAACAAAGTGCACTAACAAATATACAAGAAGCCTGTTGGAAGAAAGATAAACAAAAGAGGAAACTTGCTACACAGATGCATGTCCACAAACTGCAGTTTGATATCAAAGCTCAAGTCGATCTTGCAGCAAACCCATAACATTCAACGGAAAAGAATTTGCATCAAGTTTCTTCCCTTCTCACTCGATTTCACCCTCCCCATCTAAGACCTGCTAATTTCCTTTTCAGAACTGATGCATTCCATCAATTTAAGTTGGTAAGGTTCTGATCTTAACCATGTCAAATTGGGGAGGCATAGAGCAGAGACCAGTTGTTTCCAAATTGGGAGAAGGCAGGATAAGTCGACTGTCACACCTTTTAGAGATGTTTTATAGAGCAACAATTGTGGGGGTGCGGGAACAAAAATGAGTAGCAACACTTTACAAAATGTTATTTTCTGAGAGATTTCAAAGCAACTTTCAGGATATTACAAGGCAACAACAACAAGATTACATTTGTATAACGTCTTTCATGTCGGAAAGACGTCCTAAAGTGCTGGACAGTGTACAGTATTTCAGACCTGAGCTGGGGTCAGGGGGGGAGAAGGGAGGGGAGGGGAAGGGGGATGGCTGATGGCATGGTCGAAGAGGAGGGTCTTGAGGCGGGACTTGAAGGAGGCTAAGGAGGGGGCGAGGTGGAGTGATGGGGGATGGGGGCAGAGATTGGGGGCAGAGTGGCTGAAGGCTCTCCCGCCAATGGTGGGGCAGGTGGGTCGGGGGATGTGGAGCAGGCCAGAGCCGGCTGAGCAGAGGGAACGGGCAGGTTGATAGGGGGTTAGGAGGTCACAGAGGTAGGGTGGGGCGAGGCCGTGGAGGGCGTTGTACGTGAGGACCAGGATCTTGAACTGGATCCTCTGAAGGACAGGGAGCCAATAGAGTCGGGCGAGAGTGGGGGGAGATGGGGTCATGGAGTTTGGTGCGGGAGAGGACACGGGCTGCAGAGTTCTGGATTATCTGCAGCCTGTGGAGGGAGGAGTTGGGAAGGCTGACAAGCAGGGCGTTTGCATAGTCGAGCCTGGAGGTGATGAAGGCAGGAACAAGAGTTTCAGTGGCCTGAGTGTTGAGTTAGTGGCGGAGTCGGGCGATGTTACGGAGGTCAGGGAGGGCAGAGCAGATCATGGCTTGAATGTAGGGAAGAAAAGACAGTTGAGGGTCGAACAAGACACCGAGGTTCCTAACTGGCTGGTGAGTTGAAGTGTGCAACCATGGAGGTTGATGCTGCCAGAGCCTGAGGTGCTGAGGCGCTGGCACAAGCCAATCAGGAGGGCCTCAGTCTTGTTCACATTCAACTGTAGGAAATTTGTCCTCATCCAGGACTTGATGTCTGACAGGCAGTCTGTCAGGACAGCAGTGGTCCTGGAGTTGAGGGTGGAAGCAGAAAGATAGAGTTGGTGTCAAGGAAGTACCCAATGCACACTCTGACATCCCTATACTTTCGCTCTTGTCAAACTGGACCTAAACTTTCTGGGATTACGTCCTTCTGGAAAGAACAGTGTGCATTTCATTCTAGACAAACAGAAGTTCCCATGTATATGTTAAACTTTCAATTGATCGGTTTGGATGCTCTGAAAATACATGGTGATCAGTTTCAGCTTGTAACAGCTGATTCAAGCTGATTGAGCGTGGAAACTGAGCAATAGCTGTATCTATCCTTCTAGTTATTGTAATATAAATACATTCAAAATATAAAAGCAGCCATAGAATGCTAATTCAATGTTAATATTCCCTAGCAGCATCTGTCTGATAACTAAATATAGTTCTTTAAATATATGTATTTTTACAAGCCTTTCTGTGGTTTCAGGGAGTGCAATGCACTGGAGTATTGAAAAATCAGCCTGACAAGAGTTATGGTAGGAATACGTTTTCACATTTGAACAAATAGTCTTACTTAATCTGGAAGATAAAGCCAAATGTTTGAAAATTACAAAAAAAAGTACATTATGCTCACGGTTCAGCATATTCAAACTCTCATGGATTTCTAATCTAGACTAAAGAAACAAAAATGATGGTCATCTGCATTGTTACCTACCTCATTGTCCGACTCCACAAGAACTTGATCGTATTCACTAAGGGCAACTAAAAACATGATGGATGTCACATTTTCAAAGCAGTGTATCCACTTTCTTCTTTCTGACCGCTGGCCCCCAACGTCGACCATTCTGAAAGACCAATGCAATACCAAACTGCATCACGACCACGTCATTCACTGAGCTAATGTTAATTATTCGTGAAAATAAAATGAGCTACGATGAGCTAAACATCAAACAAAGAGCACAATGTAATAATAATTCTTGTATTTGATGTACAATCTATAAGAAATCTTTAAATTTTACTTTACATCCAGTTTACATTTGCAATGTTAGAAGTGAAAAACATTGAAGAGCATCATTTTCAGTGACTCTGCACTCGTTCAAATGGTAAAAAAATCACTATAAACATTGCACATTTTCTTACTAGGGAAATATCTACAATCTTGAAATGCAGAATCAAAACATTTCATAGTTTATTCACATCAGATTTGAATGTCATGTAAACATACTTTAGATTGTATAATTTGACTTTATAATTCATAAACATTTTTTAAAATGTTTGGTTAACTTTTATAAGCATTCAATATAATCTAAATAATCATTATGGTCCAAACTATTCTCGCATGTGCTTTTCATTCTATTCAAATCAACTACAGTACTGCAGAAAGTGAAATTTACTGAATGATGCTCAAATTTCCTAAAAATCGAAGTTTTAAAAACAGTCACTGTCTTTCAGCAGCTTTTCTTCTACCTGAAAATGACGGTTTGTAAGTCGAAGGGGTATTCAATGATCCCTGTTGTTGGGACTCGAACTCTAAGCACATCCTGTTGAGTGGGTAGATAGGAAGGTTCTGATATACGGTCCAAGTCTTTAAGATAGCTGGAAACAGGGAGAAACAACAGGAATGCAAAGACTATGACCCGATTATTCCTTGGGAGACAAAACAGAATGGGTGTGATTGGGTTGATGGCCATTCGCATTGCCTCTAAAAGTCCTAGAGAATTACCCCAGATTACCATTTATTCAGAAAGGTGACATGTGAAATATATTTACATCTCACTTCCACTCCTCACCAGATTGTGCACACTATCCACAGATGAGGGATGTATTTTTTCAGTATTGCCTTACAAAATTCCTGAAAGTTTTGTTTTAAACCAAAATTTGTTTTGGTAGAAGCAATACATTTACTTAGAATAAGCACAAGATATAATTTTTTACACTATCCCATAACCAAAGTTCAGAGTTAAAGCGGATGTGATCATGTTAATATTAAATCAGAACATACTGCAAAAACGGTGGAAGATAGGAGATATACACTATGCCCCAATCAATACCTGAAGATTAAATTATTCATGTCAAATGAACACTGAATATCACCACTTGTGGGCACTCTAACCTGCAGAACATCCTATTTGATTGGCAGATAATCTAGTGCTGAATATCACTAAGGCTACTGTGAAATAAGAAAGATAATGAGAAAAGGCAAAGTAATACACATGCTGGAAATTCTGGTATAAACATAGAAGTTGCTGGGAACACGCAGCAGATCAGGCAGCATCCATGGAGAGAGGAAAATGAGTTAACGTTTCAAAGTCAATGACCTTTCGTCAGAACTGGTTCTCGTGAAATTCTCAGTTTGATTTAGATACTCTTTAACCATGTTGATGAGTTTCCTATTTGTCAAACACTGGCTGAGCAAAAAAAATAAAGACAATTATAACTAAATTCTATGAGAACTCCAATCAATAGATGGCAGTGTTTGTTAACCTTGGGTCACCTATTTCTGTCCATAGAAATAACATGAAAATTAATTAGCATATGTTTCCTATTGATTGAATGTAAATATTTTTGTACTTTAATGACCCTTTTATTTGACTGTACTTAGACTCCATTATTCTGTGTATGTCTTTCTTTCATTTTATCAGCTGTAAGATGTTCCTAAGTATGTATTCATCATACATCATTTGATAGGCAAAAGCTTCAGGATATCAGGCAGTGTTGCGAATGCCAAAGATTGAAACAGAAATTAAACAAATCAAATGGCTGAGAAGTTACACTGCCAGTGTGTTTGTATAGCAGCCCAGTTCTTGGGGACAGTGGACAAAGCCGTTAATATGGATTAACTACCAACCTTGCTCAGACAGGTCATGGCATAGGATGTGACACATTGATACAGTAGAGGGAGCTCTTCTGAGGCTGTAGCAGCTTTATTCTAAACGTAACCCAAATTAGATCAGCATTGGGAGTTCTTACTGCTGGCAGTCGATGCCCATAAACGGTTCTACTTACGCCCAGCATTAACCACCATCACTTGGACGAGCACAAAATAAATACACTCCCCCACTGAATAATCAGATTGATGTCTAAACCTGCTTTTGGAAGTGTGAAAGAAAACAGGGTATAATATCGTGGTACACCAACAAAATGTTGCATTTAAATAGCACCCTTCCTGTAGGATGATGCTTCAAGTACATTTTATAGGGTTGGAGTTGGATTCTGAGAAAGTAAGAAGGGAGAAGGGTAGGTGACCCTCTTGCAACTGTCATGCTCCGGCACTGCCAAGTGCTTTGCGATGCTATCATAAGAACACAAGAACACAAGAAATAAGGGCAGAATTCCTCACTGGCGTAACAGTGTACAATAAATCTTTCCGATTCACTTAGTGACAGTCAATCGCAGTTCCTATTCCTCAAACCAGGCCCACAGCATGATGTTAGGAATTTAAATGGTTTACAATAACCTCATACTGTATTCCGTTACTTCCAGTTTATTTCTTACAATTGTATCTATTCCCTGGCACTTCAAAGAGATGGGACTATGTTATCAGTGCATTCGATTAGGAAGTTTATCATAAACGTAAAAGAACCTTCTTACTCCACATGTGGTTCCATATCATAGGATCAAGATTTTGATTTCATCTTAGCCCAGGAAGATTCAATGTTATGGTGTAAATTGTTCCAATAATAGTGGAAAAGTCAGTGATTCAAATACTTACTATTTGGTGGAATCAGAGAGCTGGTATTCTCTCCGTCTATCATAGGATTCCTGGATCCCTGGGTCGATCCATAAACATTTGATTGCATCTACATATGGGTTAGAGAATGACGACACCTTCTCTACGTCAATGTCACGAATTAACTGTGCATTTGCCTGTGTGACAGAAAAGAAAAAAACAAATCACTAAATAAGGAGAATTATGTAAGTTAGGGTGAGGGGGCAAAACTTAAACAACACAATGATTTTCTTCCCAACTATTTTAAATAATTTTATTTTAAAAAGCCACATGGTAAATGTTTTTGCTGTACAACTAACATTTATTGTCAGAAGGACATCTCAAAGGGCTGCTGTCTGGGGATGGAACACAAGGGGGCCAGGGAAGGGAAAGATGATCGACAACACAGTCAACTCTCCATAACATCTTGAACGAGGTTATGGAGAGTTGGAGACTCTGGCATGGAATTTTAGAAAGCAGAATGAGTGAAAGCTCACCTGCCGATGATGGGGTGGGGGGGGATAGGGCAGGAGACACAACGCAGGCTGGTGCTCACTGAGCAAAGGGAGGGCTGAGTCGGTAGGGTTGAGTCGGTAGGATTGAAGGAAGTCAGAGCGGGAGAGTATGGCTAAGCAGATATGAACTTTTTGCCAGAACAAATTTGCTGGCGATTCTATCCTGGGAATTAAGTTACCAAGAGGTGTAAATGTCCCTCAAATTCACATTAAATAACTGAAGGAGAATTACCCATATTACATGTTTGTGTTCATCATTTTTGTTATATTTAATGTTTATATGCATTCCACGTTAATAAAAAGAAAAACATGGGTTTAAAAACATTGGTAAAATACTGTATATAAACTCTTTGAATTGCTGCAGATGCCATATACACTATTAGTGCATGCACATATATTGATCGAGACTGCTCACTTCTGACATTAAACAATTGTCCTTCCCCGCCCCAGAGGATAATTGCTAGTTGGTCATTTGACCTCTCACAAGTACAGGTTTGAGCCCTCACCAAGTGAATGGCAGGTAGCAGGAATTCCCTGCAGCTCTAGCACTGATCCAGCGTTGATAAGATGACTGCACCACAGTTATCAATTGTGATCACAAACAGCTTGACTGTTGCATATCGGATTTTACAACTGCAGTATGTATTGGCCTCTCTCTCACTCTCTCTCTCACTTACTGTTTGTGAGTTTCCTTGTAATTTTGTACACAATACAATATCAAAATAAACAGTAGTAACAGAAATGGTTATGAAACCGTTAAAAGGTCAAAGGGTTAAAGAAAACAAGCCTCTATTTGAAGGGTTCTACAAATGTTGTTGAACAGTTTGAGTATTGGTCAGGAGTCTGACAGCCAATTGTCCACTGTGCAGCAATACCTTTCATAATGCTACCTCTGGGAAGGCAAGTATAGCTGCAGCTGAAATTCGGACTTAAAAATATTGTAATGTAATATTGGATTGCAAAATACAGCATCACTTTAACTGCAGCACCAAACCAAATCTAAACTAAATATGCATCACAGTACTGTTAAATAAATAAATAAATAAATAAATAACAAATAAATAACAAATAAATAATAAATAAATAATAAATAATAAATAAATAAAATCTACTAATATCACAACTAAGTGTTTATAATTGCGTGGATATATAGTATGTGGGCAAGATTTCAGGCTCATTTAATATCAAAAGAAACCAATTGCTTACTTTGGAAAACCGTCATGAAACCCAATGAAAATTCTTACAACTTGCTTTTACCCATTATATTATTCCCTCTTCTTGGATAGGTTCACATATCTCATTGACCGTTCCCTAACTATCATTCCTCTATCCAGTTATTGAAAATTCCCTGACTATCCCCTTTGTCAGGTCATTGACCATTAATTAACACCACTTTCCAAGGATGGACTGTTCGCTCACTAACACCACTATTCATATTATCAAACAACAAACAAAAATTACATTTCTATAGCGCCTTTCACATTGGGAGGACATCCCAGGCACTGGACAATCAGTGTTTCAGACCCAAGCTGGGGGTTGGGATCGGAGAGGATGGAGGGCAGGGGGGAAGGAGGGCGACCGAAGGCACGGTCGAACAAGAAGGTCTTGAGACGGGACTTGAAGGAAGCAAGGGAAGGGACGAGGCAGAGGGACTGCTGGATGGAGTTCCAGAGGGTGGGGGTAGAGTGGCTGAAGGCCCACCCACCAATGGTAGGGCGAGCGAGGCAGGTGGATGTGAAGCAGGCTGGAGTCTGCTGAGAGGAGGGAGTGGGCAGCTTGGTAGGGGAGTTAGGAAGTCATAAGGGTAGAATCTTGAACTGTATCCTCTGTGTGATGGGAAGCCAGTGGAGTCGGGCGAGAATTGGGACGATAGGGTCGTGGAGCCTGGAGCAGGAGAGGACACAGGCTGCAAAGTTCTGGATGATGTGCAGCCTATGGAGGGATGAGCTGGGGAGGCTGATTAGCAGTGACCCTCGATAATAATAACAATAATCGTTGCATTTGATATGGCACCTTATCATGTCTTCAAGACGTCTCAAAGTGCTTCACAGAATATACTGTAAAGTTAATTGACTGTATATTTTGTGGGTGAAACACGGCAGTCAATTGCATACAAGCAGTGTCCCACAAACAGTCGTGGATTGAAGTGACCAATTTATTCTTTTTTTGATATTACCCCTGGAAAAGCGATCCGCCAATCGACTAACAATCAGGTTCCTATTTACTGCTAGGTAAACAGAGGCTTGTAAGGAAACTTGTCCAACATTTTGCCATGTCGGGAATCGAACCAAGGTTTCTCGCTTAAGAGGCGAGTGCTCTAATGACTGAACTACAGGACTCCACATGTTACAGGACTCCACTGGATGTTATAAATGCGTGTATGAGGATCTCGGCAGCCTGTGGTGTGATACAGTGGTGGAACTGGGCGATGTCAGCAATTGCACAGAATCTAAGATACCTTAATATTTCAAACTGATGAATTGCATGGAATGTAATCCAATGGTAGCAGCAGACTTTTTTGTTTTATTGCTGAGGTTAATACTCAACAACTCCCATTATAACATGCCTCGCTATAATACATGTCTGGGTATTACACAGTTGGCTTGCAGAAGTGTGGGGAAAAAATATAATCCTTACATTTGATACAGCACCTTTCACATCAAGAGAATGCCTCAGGATTTACAGGATTTACTGAAAAGTATGGTGACTGTGCATTTGTAGGTCTACGTCACAGATAATTTGGGAAGAGCAATGTACCATAAACAGTCTTGAAATGATTGACTAATTTTATTTAAAGAATTGTTGGCCAGGGCACAGGAGAAATTCTTGTTTGCTTATTGAATAGTGCCACGAGATCTTTAATGTCCGCCCGAACAGTCAGATGGACCCTTGGTTTAATATCTCATCTGAAGGACGGCATCTCCAACAATGTGGCGTTCTAGCATTAATGTATAGTGGAGTCCTGTAGCTCAGTGGTTAGAGCACTTGCCTCGCAAGTGCGAGACCTGGATTCGATTCCCGGCAGGGTGAAACACTGGGCAAGTTTCCTTTCTTCACACATCTCTTTTTACCTAGTAGTGAGTAGGAACCCAATAGTTTGTCAATTGGCAGATCACTTTTCCGGGGGCAATAACTCCTTCAAAAAAAATAATAATAAATTGTTCACTTCAATCCACGACTGTTTGTGGAACACTGCTGTGTGCAACTGGCTGCCACGTTTCGCCAACAAAATATGCAGTCAATTCAATTTACAGTAAATTCTGTGAAGCGCTTTGAGACGCCTCGAAGACGTGATATGGCACTATATCAATTGCAAGTATTATTGCTGTACTGGAGTGTAAGCCTAGACTGAGCTTAAAGTCCCAATGTGGGTTTAAACTCACAATCTTTTTACTCACAAGGTGAGATTGAGAGTGCCACTAAATGAGCCAGGCTGGGATGAATACATTTCTTGTGCTGAATTGCTAGCTTCCTGAGTCAAAGTATATAGATCTGAAGCTCTCTTAATGCCTTGCAGTATTCCTGGTAACCACTGAAAATGCTAGCTAGAGAAGTTACTGGCTTCCTGCACACTGGAAATTTCAGTAGTGGCCATTTTATAGGAAGTGATGTCAGCATTGGCCATTTTATAATGAGGTGTCCAATTTTATGGACCAAAAAATATTGCATTATAACCTATATTAGTGCATCATGAATTACAACCTCTCCTCCTCTCTCACTCCCACCAACACACACTCACAGCTGTTCAGCGAAATCCGCCTTGGGTGAATTTTAAATGCATTTGAAAGTCAGCATTTTCCCTGAATTCTTCATCATTATCACAGAAAATGCTTTAGGTACAATCTTGACATCTTGTCATGCAAAAGCACAAATAATCATACTCAGGAATCACAACAGACTTGAAATTATAGCCTTCACAATGAAATGGAAAAGACGCCCTTCACCCCAGTGAGTCACAATGCAGAAATGTTGGGCACAAAATGCTCAGAAAAGAGAGAATGTACTAGATTTTTAGTGGAGGTGATAATGATGGTCAATTTAAGATTGGTGGCAAATTCCCTCCCTCCAAGATGAGTTGGTTGACAGGTATGTGAAGAGAAACTTAGCTGGAAAACCTGAAAAAAACATTTCAGCAACATAAAATCAGTAACCAAAGATAATACTATAGGCCAAACCCACTATAAAAAGATGTTTTGAAACCATAAACTCAGTCACTTTGAACTGTAACAAGAAGATATAAAAAGAGCCCGCTGCCGGTCAGTGTATCTGGGTTGCCAGGTCACAGCTGAGGTAATTTTCTCGGTACTGTGCATCTGCGCTATAACAGCATTAATGTCACTTCCTTCACCAAGTGATGTCAATGGTGCTTCTTGCACAGGGCACACATGCATAGCACCGAGTAAGCTAGCCAGACAACACGAGAAGCGTGCTGCATTTCCAGTATAGTGCAGGTTTACAGTACACCCACACTATAAGCAGAGCCATGCTAAATCAAGGCGCATTAGCACAGAGTCATCACGTATGTTCAGATGAAGGATAACCTGCAGTGGACTGGAAAAATCTGTACAACTTCTTTTTAATTTGTATCCCAACCCTTTACTCATGCAAGCCAGTGCAGTAGAACACTGCATATCTGCACGCTA